CAGGTATTAATAACCAAAGGCTGAAATCACTACCCTTAAAAACAGTACAGTATAGTTGGATGATATTTCGAAGTAAATTTCGAAATAAAAACTTACATTCATACGTATTGATATAGCAGCGAATATTACGATGAATGGGGAGCTCACTGGATTTTTCTTTTATATAAAAAAAATGTTTATTTATACATTTGAATGATGAATGAGTTTCAGTTCATATGTAGGTACCTATTTTATAGTTAAACTAGGCAGTTTGGCTAAAAAATCAGTTCAGAATGCATCAGATATTAAAGTACACAATTAATTATATACGTGTACTGTTACATACGCACACGTATCCTGCGTTATAATGAATTCATAATTATGTCTTACTTAATGAACAAGCACAATAGATATGGAAAAAAGCTAATCATTTATGTATTTTTAATAAATGCCGGTTTTATTTAAGGCAAATATACATCAAGATTAATTTGTTTCATTTTAAAATTCTTAGTTGAATGTCTACTAAGACAAACGTAAGTAATGCTAGTGCATAGCTAGCGTGTATTAAAACTTTTAATACACGCTAGCATGATTCAATTGACATTTAATTTAAAAGGTTCTAACCCTGTACATAGGATCTCACACCCTCATTGTCTAAGGACGACATTTCTATCACCTTAAAAACCAAAACATTTAATGTTTTTGATATTTAAAAACATTTCATATTCATACTTTAAAAAGACAGTCACTAGACATACCAATGGACATGGTAAAACAATAATAAGCGTTTCCTCTTGACATAAGCACCTAAAATGCCAAAAATGAAAAAAAAATCGATAAAAAAAAGATGTACGACAGAAACACCTTATTTGACGTTCCGTTGTGTACTTATACCAATTGAAAGACAAGTGTGACGACAATAATATACCTATAATATATCAAAGGTTAGGATAAGTAATATAGCAATATCAAATGAAATATCGCATATTGAACTCTATAAATACCTAAAACACTCGCGTCAAGTTGGTACGATTATATTATAAAGATAGATTGTTATTTATTTTTCTGGAAATTTTCAGTACTTAACAGCTTCATGTACATAATATATTTACGCTGCAGGCTATAGCATCAGTCCCGTTCAAATACAAGCTCATAACCTAGAAAATATGGGTAGCTACTCACTTTGTATCTTCTACCTAGCTGCAGCTTTGCAGGAAATTGTTGCGTTATATTGTTATGAGTTTCTCTTGCCGCGGATTTTCTCGAAAAATACATCTTGTTGGTATGTTTCGAAATCCTTTCCTTTCTATCAATACTATCAAAATACCAATATTCGTTTATAAATGAACTCGATTGTATTTCACGAGCAGTCATAGCAATAAGTGTTAGCACACAATTTTTTTATACGTACTGTTAATGGGAGGTTTTCACGGTTTATAACCGTAGTCGGTGGTATTAGCGGAGGACCACAAGCGGGAAAAAACCGAAGTTGCGGTCTTGCATGGTATTAATTTTTGATAATATCACTTCATGATGATCATTGAATCGTAATGATTCACATTCATGTTTTGACGGTAAGCTTGCCTTTATTCGCTTTACAGGTTATATACCTTAAAGGTTATATAATTATATACAGTTATATCTATTTTTCAATATTTCGTGTTACAACTTGTTTGTATATCTAATTTACATGATTTTTAGACGTTTTTTAATTTGTTAAAAATTGATTACATTGTATTAACGTTATTGCTGAAACAAAATACTGAACATTGTCACGTCACAGAGATTGATAACACGATTAAAAGCGTTTTACAACAAAATACTAAAAATAGCGCCTGAGGTGACCTTTTTGTGTTCGCTCACAGCTCTGTATCAAAAATGCGATTGTATTCATTTGCTATTGTGACGATGTGAATTGACGTCTTCCTTTATAAAATTGATCAAATCTTGTCTACTACACAATATTACGACAAATATTATTTAGCTTTGCCAAATAAATCGCGAACTTATCTTTGTAAAGATTTTATTTTTTATTGAATAGTAGCAGACGGATCACCTGATGGTAAGCGATCAGCGCCGCCCATGGACACCCGCAACACCAGAGGTGTAAGTAAAATTAAAATTGTAAATATTAATACCAAGTAAAATTATAGTTAGGCAGTTAGAATTTTAAGGTTCTAGACGTTTTTATTTCTTATATACGTAATATTCATTAAAGAGGACCGTTGATCTGAACTGTTAACAATTTATAAAAGCTGAAGCTCTAGTTTCACATGTCTTTTGTGAATCTACATTGTCCATAGCATAGTGTGTATTCTTGGACCCAAAAATAATATATGCGCATAATTTTGAACAGGTATCTACTCAACACTTTATTAAAGAACCATTTTCACTAGCACTTTCCTCGCCCACATTATTCATCCGAAGCTTTTACATTGACATTATTTTGGTAAGAAGATTTCAAGATAAGTAAAAGTTACCATACATATTAGGTTACTCTATATTTACTTTTTATTTTGATGAAATCGAATTGATCGGTTTGATCAATATTTTTTACACTTCTGAACTCTAGTTTCACCTCAAAAATGTGTTGTACAAACGGTTGTTTCGAAAATTCACGCAGCACCGCTCAAAAGTGTTTTGATCAGCGTCGCGTGACGAGGCGAAATAAAAAGAGAGGAAGGTCTTGCATTCAAATGAGAGCTCTGTGTCAAGGAGGACACCACAAAATACAAACTTAATTTTCTTGACCTCAACACAGACGAAACTTATGCTGTTTATCTTTAAATTTTCTGCCGTAGACTGAATACAACTTTTTAAAATTATATGTACTAATAACATTGTTTAGGGACTGATGTTACATGCGTGTCTTTGTTTCCAATAGATACAACTTGACAACTTCTTGTTTATTTAATAACCAGGGAGTATGTTGCATTTTTTATAAGAAACCGTTATGTCTAGTAACATGTAGTACATAATTCTTAAGTTATGTAAGTCTAAACATTGTTAAAATTCAACAATATTCTCCAGCAAGAATCAGTTATTATAGGAAACAATGCCATATAATTTTTGGTAGCTTCGCACCGATTTCTAATTTGTGGAACCAATAGGGTAAGCGATCATTATATTTTTTGCTCATAATTTCGATCTCCACCGACTTTTTCCCTAAATAATCTATAAGTAACATATTTCTGGTGACCAAACAACACGCACGCGGACGAAGAAAACATTTTTGTATATTAGTTATAACGAGTATTGACGGCTCGCACAGTTGTTTTGAAGAAACTTCTCTAACTTTTCCAAAGCTAGTAAAAGAAGAGTGGTTTTCTACGAAATATTCAATTATTGCACTCCGAAACTTTGAGAGTACTGAGTTTCGTATGTACCTTCTACATTAGTTAGCTTTTCTGATTTCACATAATATTCTAGCTTTTCCTACTGTAGTATTAATACAAAATAGTCCCAAATGTCTCAAACGTATACTTGTTTTTGTTTAGATGAATAAATTATTAGTCAATTACACTAATTGAAACAGAATTATTAATCTATAGTCAAAAGCCGGCTTGAGATTGAAGTGTCCTTCAATCAAAACTACAGTAACTAACCAGTGTTAATGCCGGAGGCGCCAAGTTGTACGCACGTCACACCTATCAATACTGGGTATTTTCGTCAGTCAAAACTAAATTATTTCGACTTTTCGAATCAATGAAATATTAAAATGTAACTACAATTTCATTTAATAATGTTTGATATACCTACTTCAAACCGATTTTTTGTAGCTTTTTATTTCAGTAATAAATATGCTATTTGACGGAAAAATTAGACGACGTCACAAGCTATACGTCTCATATAAAATCTATAGAAACTTTCCAAAAAAATATTGAATTTGACTAGTTGTCAACTGTCGTATTTTGTAATATAATTTCTCATAAATATCTGACAAATATATCTTTCAAATCCTTCTTTTCTATAATATACCTATTTAATTTAGCAAAGACAAAGTGAAGATCACTTATTCTCAAAAACAGTCACAGACCCGACCCCAGACATATTGTTAGTTCGATAGTGATAGGGTCTGAGGGTGCAAGTTTTTGACTGTACTAGCTATGCCCGCGCGGCTCTCGGTGATGTATTATGACCTTTCTCTCAAATAATTATTCAAATTGGACCAGTAGTTAGTAATTATCGTGAGACATACTAAATTAACTAAAAATATTGTGAAAAACTCTACTAGTTTCGAACCACAGACGGGTTCTTCTTCATGAGCGGTGTTCGCGGTCGCGGCAATGTCGCGCAGTTTACCCTAGAACCCCTCTGTGGTTCGAAACTGGAAATGGTTTTCTCAATATTATCACGTGATTTTTAGTTAATGGACCAGTAGTTCCGTATAATTTTCAAACAATCAAACGTTAGCTAATAAAGTGTAAGGTAATCAATATAAATTTTGTACATAATATATATGTGCTAAGCTAGGTACGTAGTTCAATTAATTTACATAAAATGGTTGCAGTTAAAATGATGCAACGGAACAATTAGTATCATTAAAGAGAGGTAATGAGACTAATTGCTCCAACACAGCTCTTTGTCGTCGAAATAATTTTATTTCTTATCAATAAATTAATAACTGTAGGAAAAAATTATTAAAGAACAACATTAACTTGTTTATGAATTACAATTTCATTAATAACGAAGTTCATTATCTTGTAATATGTTAAGGATATTGGATTTGGTATATCATAATACTATACACTTTATTGAACATATTTACTACTATCGTTACCATTTTTAACTTTGATCACGAAATAGTAAACGAACCCATTTTAAAGTAAAAAGAGATTAGCTTAGAAGTTTTTCGTCCCCATAACGGTTCGTCAGATCTAGTTAAAAGTTGAGCAATCAGGAATAGATAGCTTTGAGCCATTTATAATGGAATCCCCTGGGAAAATTGAAATTTCCTCAATTCACTGAGTGATTGCAATTCCATTTAGTGTATTATCTAAAAATAAGGAAAATGCACTTACTGAGTCGTGACAGTTTGAAGGCGTCGGCCGTGTTGATAATATCAACATAGAGCTGAAAGTCCAGGTTGGATTTGTTCGCATTATTGGAGTGTTGCAACATCGCAAACTTGAAAGCATTCTGAATTTCTTCTGTATTTTGGTCAAATACTACGCCTGCAAAAGAAACAAAATATGACAATTAATATAAATATAAAAGTAACATAGCATAACATATTCTGTTCTAGAATTTTCTCAAAATTACAGTTATTTTATAATTGAAGAACGTATACATAAAAGTATCTTATTTTACGTCCGGTTCAAACAAACGTAACGACAAAAGCTGGTTTAAAATAAATTAGAGATAATGACAAATTCAAATTCAGCACGGCGCATTATAATTAAAGAGCAATAAAATGGACGCGTTACGGTTGGAAATGCTAATGATTAAATAAAACCTTTAGTCGTTCATTGGTTTATGAATATGAGTAGAGTGTGCGGCCAGCGTTCGCAATTTATTGTTTTGCAAGCATACGCGGGTATAGTATTCCGGTATGAAATTTATCGCTTTAGTCCGGCTGGAGAAAAATATGGATTTATTGGTTCAGCTTTGCAACAAATCGTTATTACTTTTAGGGATCTGATAATTCCATACTCGATAAAATGTAAGCCTTTGCTTTATCGGTGTGATGTCGGCGGTCAAAGCTTGCGCAATGAATATTATTTTACAATTTTATTAAATACGAGTAAGCTGTTTTACGGTTCTACGTCGTTCATTTTGTTGATTAAGAGAGGGTTATTCTCGTGTTATTTTAAAACGATTACTTTATAAAAGAGTTTAAGTCCCATATTCTTTAAAACAACAATGAAATAGCCATCCATGCCATCTCATAAAGATAGCTTTAGAAGGATTGAAAATATCTTATTTTAAAATGATATTACAATTTCATTGATTCATTTAAGCAAACTAGACTGCTCTTTCTTTCTTTCTTTTTCTAGCGTCTTCTCAATTAGACTGGGGTAAGAACTGAATAATTAATCGTCTGGGTCTTACTAGATATTTGTATGCCCACCGCAACGAGTCCTCAAGACAGCCTCGGTTATTAGTGTTTAGACACTAGCTATCGTCCGCAGTTTCTGTCGTATTTATAGATTAAAATTAACACTACTTGTTAAGTAAGGCATTTATGTTATTAATATTAATGCTTTAAATTATGTTGCGTAAAGTCTGAAATTTGTAACTATTTGTAGATCAAAATTATAGCCAAATACCCCTTAAACTCTGACTTACACAGCTAATATCATATTCTCTGTTTAAAACACATGTATCTTATCTAGCATTTCATTACGTAAATTCAATAGTAGTTTTAGTATTAGACATACAAAACTATGAAATGTGTGTTGTAAGCTCTGCCTTTTCATCTTCCACCGTCATTAATATCAAGCCTTTGTTGTCTAAACTGTTGTACATTTTCGTACCACATTTGATATGTCAGATGTGTTAATTATTCGAATATCTTTGCTTTCAACCCACATTTGAATATGACTTCACTAGACTGGAGTTTCCCAGAGAGACAAACAAAAGTAATTATTAAGTACCTACTTTTAAAGTTGGTATAGCTATTTTATTTATGTCGACTGTGAAAGGTACTTACTGGTTTTATTTTGTTTCTATAAGTTGCTTAAACCTAATAGCATTTTAGCGATATAAAAACCATGTTTTAAAAATGATAAGTCAAGTAAATAGGTGCCTCTGGATTTAACAGAAACTTTTATTGGTTTTATTTTTATTGAAATCTTAACGAAACGTAAATATTAACTGCGTAGAATGTGATTAAATAGACCGGGAATGATTTTAACTGGACGATATTCCGTATTAAACTAGGTACCTACTTGTCTGAACATACAAATTTTTACATTAAGTAATAAATAACACATAATATAATTAATTTTAGTCTCTCTGTCAGTCCATTAAGTTTTCAGTGTAAAATAACACACTAAGTAAGTGGGTTCCAGTTTACAAAACCTATTCCGTGTCTTGTTTGAGAAGCAAAATGCTTCCAACAGTAAAACGAAAGTTAAGTGAAAAAGTAAAATGTTGTTGAATTTTAATTAGAAGGTAACAAGGAAACTTCTGACGCTAATTCTTTTTAAGTGCCAATTATTGATAGCGGCTTTTTGTTTAAATGTGGCTTCATTCCTAGCATAAATGAAAAGTCACGTTTTGTTTCTAAATTAATAGTATAAAACTCATCATGTAAACTATTAGGGTTTTCAATTTCAAAATACCACTAACAGAATCAAGTATGGGAGCCATGCATCGGCACGAATGGGTCGGCTCGACCAGAGTGATACCACTGACGTGAAACAACGCGTGCATTATGTTTCGTCTTATGAGTGAGGTTACCGGAGGCCCGATTACCCCCCTCCTCAATCTCTACAATCCGTGAACCCCAACAAGCCTCAAATTCCTAAGCCCTAAAAGGCCGGTAATGCATTTGTAACGCCTCTAGTGTTTTGGTTGTCTATGGGAGACACCGATTGCTTACCATCAAGTGATCCGTCAATGCATTTAATGGCTTATCTCATAAAAAAAAAACTGTTAATGTTTGGTGGTGGAACCAATATCTAAATCTATGTTAAGAACTCTTATTACATCTTTGCCATTGTGTCCGAGTAAACGCGCGGCAAACGATTAAATAAGTACAATTTTAAACGACGTAATTAAAAAAAAAATGAATTATTTTTATGTATTATGTGGTGTGAAAACGCAATTCACCACATAATTATAACACCGAACAATATGGTTTTCTCCCTGTACTGCGTGCGTTAGTTTATATATAAGTACATGATTTTTGTATTAATAAAAGATTAATTTCACTCAGTTAGAATACAGAAAACGCGAACTTTGTGCAATTTCAAAATAAGTGGTATATAGGTAATAATGAGAATTCGTAGTTGATAAACCCATCTGGAAATCACATTAAACACGGCATCTCGCTCGCACATAGTGTCAGTAGCTCATAGTTTATTCGAACAATAGGATTCCAAACATTTTTACTGATGCAAGAATAAAGGAAATAATTCAATGGGTGATGTGAATACGGCACTTGCTGAGGGTCAAGTTAGACTGTAAATTGAATTCTGACACTACATGAGGAAATTTTATTCGCCATTGTTAGTTGTTACAAAGCGGTCACGTAAAGAATAGTTTTGAGAAGGTTCTTGGAACAGTATTGGTACTTGATATAACTGAATATAAACGCTTTCAAAACTTTAGCTTTGCAAAATAAGCCTGAAATTCAGTGGCTAGTTGTTTCGACTTTTATTTCACTACCCAGAAGGTTCTGACGAAGGAAATATGACGGCTTAGTTTTTATTGTAACGTAAATAGGCGCGGGTCAAAGGAAACTTTCTTTTACGTTGGCCCGACAGATGTCCTTAATGTTTGGGCCCTGTTTGTTTATAACCTTTGGAAAATTAGTCATAGTAATGATTCCTTTTTCCTACTTTCTTGTTCAAACGATTGTTTTATTGTAAGGTATTGCCCCCGTTTACTAAAAATGTTCCCTTAGTACGTATGTATGTAATTTTAGTACTGTGTACTGTAATCCACATCCTAATATAATAAGAATCTAGAAATCAAACAGCTTTATAATAACTTACCAATATACTCATCATCAACAGCCTATAAATGCCCACTGCTGAGCAAAACCTCTTCTCACACGGAGAAGGTTAGAGCATTAATCAAACTTATAATTAAAAATTATAAGCCGAGGTTTCCTCATGATGTTTTTCCTTCACCGTTTGTCTGTGGTGTCTAAATAATCTTAGAAAGTACATATAACTCGGAAAAAGTCACATTGGTACTTGCCGTTGGTAGGTTTCGAACCCGCACCCTCATGCATGAGAAGCAGGCGTCTTAAATCTCCGAGCCACCACGACAGTTTCCAATATACTAATAAGCATGAAATTAAAATGCTAAAGTTACATTGAATCCTTGCCAATTGTTCCGAAATCGGGAGTACAAGATCAAAGAACGCCAATCGACCGTACGTTGACTTTACCGTAATAAATAACTTCAGAAACAATCAAGTTACTTCACCTTCATTACCTTACTTGTTAAGTTTTAATTTGAAACCTAATTAACGAGACCGCGGAAAGATATTCTTCCATAATTCAGCAAACCAAACTTTCCGTAATGAATTCACAAACATTTTTGATATCCATAATTTCAATGCAGTTAATGGAGACTTATTCAGCTGATTTTATAGCGGCCTTATATAATAATTAAGGTCGGGGAATGGAGGCGTTTTATTGCTAAAAGGATTAAATTAATCAGCCTCCGAAGACGGCGACAAAATATTAAGCACACCTTCTGAAACGGGAACTTCTAAATTAATTTCTTTGTATTGTCATAAATAAATATCTTCCCGTGACCTGGCAATAAGTTTGGGGAAAACAATGGACAAACTTTTGATTGATAAGTCTATAAATCTAAGGCAGGGATTGTCTTGGAAAGAAAGAATAATATTTACCGTATCCTAAATACTAAGCGGGATAACCATTTTTCATAAAGCGGAGTGCCTACATAAGAATAGTATAAAAGAAATTCATTTGTGCTGTGTAAATATCGAAAACATTGTATTTGCCTATGTTAATACGTAGAAAGTCAAGGTCAATGTTATATGAAAATGTTTTGTAGTATTCCGCCTATCCACGGAAAAATGCGTGAATATGAAATATCCACGAAGACCAGAATGTTAACAAAAAAATCTATCAAACTTCTCTAAGTTTGGGAATCGAATTGATATGTAATATCAAAATATGGATGTAGTTAAGGTACCTTTTAATATGTATCATAAAAAAAATTTAGAAACCAATATTCAATTTAAATTAATTTAGAGCAGCCATCGACTATTATCTTATTGAGGATATTGCATTCATCCGGATTAATTATCTCATCGCAATAGCGCATCTAAAGAATTTCATTTATTTAGCGTCCAACTTAATTGACGATAGAAAAGGTATTTGCCGACACGAAGTGTTCATATAAACGTATGAACAATCATTTGCATAGAATAATCTTTATTAGCTTTTGTTTATTTCTTTACATTTATTTGTGTGCAAAATCAGGAAAAATTGCTTTGCGCTGTAAAAGCAACAGCCCACAAACATTTCAAGCTTAG